AAGAACGTCACTTACAAATGAGATGATGGCTGCCAACAGCAGAATCTTCACCAGCAGATCGTCGAACTGCTCCAAGACCAGCTGCCAGATGCTCTTTCCTGTGGAATACAATGGTTAGTATGATGGGTAAACAATTGAGTGTATGGGGAGATCTGTTCGGATCGGGTTGACTTCGCACCTTCCTCGGTCGGCAACTCTGTAACGATAAGAAAACAAACACGTCAGTCGATTCGATTTGAAAGGGGTAATGGTGGGAATGGCAATGGGAAAGGGGATTACTACTACTACTACTAGTACCAACCGTTGGGTCCATATTTCTTCTGGTTCGTCTTGATCTGGTCGAGGGTTAAGCCGCGCTCTGCGTCCGTTCCGAAGAAGTTGAGGGACTGTTCGACGGTTTTCGAGTGACCGTCTTCCATCTTGATTCGTTATCCTCGTCGTTCAGTAGCCTGCGTTTGAATTTGGAAAGTAGACACGCATTTTAGCTTTTTGATGGGCTATTTTCTTAATTCTACGATTGATTCTGACTGGAATAGCAATGGCAAATGTGTATGCACGTATATATATGTACTTGGCATGGCCGTTTGCAGTTAAAACTACCTCATTAGGTTCTGAATAAGTGTTTGTTCGCTCGTACATGTGCATGTGCACAGGGGAATTGGAAATAGTAATAGAAATAGAAATAGAGGTGCACATACACAGGTGCTACATGCTAATTTTCAGATACTTCGGGCCACTATTAAATCGCGCAGTTATCGCGCCAACTTTGGATTCGATTGGATCGGATCGGTGCGGATTAGAGAATATGCTGGAATAATTGCATTAGCATTACCCTGGCCAAATCGCTCTCCGCTTATGAGATTCACACACGTGTCACTTCGCACAACAGACGCAGTTTCAGTTTTTGCGTATTTATTGCTGGGGAACCTTAGCCCGAAATGTCGGGTAATCCTACGTTAGCCTCGGAAAACAACGCACTGCGTGTGTTAAGTACTTTTTTCCACTGATTCTCTATACATTATAACCCATGGCGCTTTTTTCTAAATATGTGTGCTGATAACTATTGCACTAAGTCTCGGGCCGCGCATTACTGCCTATCGGCGTTTCTCACTTTGACTATGACACGACATTATTCGGAGCAGGGCTGAGTGAAAACGTGTATCGCTTATCGTACGACTCCTACCTATTTGTTCATCCAAATAGTTATAATTACGTGGCTTGAAAAACTCAATTTATTTCACCTTTCGAAGTAGCCCCTATTCGAGCGTTGAATTTCTGCTACTGAAATCTAATTGCCGGTGTTATCGATTACTCAGCATGCAAGTTCGATAGTTAACTGGTGAGTTTCCTGATTCGTAGGCACTAATTGTTGTGGTGAACAGCGAATTCAAAACGTTGTCACGATTGTTATATTTTATGTTGTTGTAATATACAATAAAGAGGAAGGAAGATTTTTTAGTAATTTTTGATTTCATAGGTACGTCTGTGGTGTAAAAAGAATTAAAAACTGTTATAACAAATATAAGAAACTTATTTGTGTTAATTCATAATACTGAGGTGGAAAACAAATTCAACTCGAAATCACGTTTTTGTATGTTAAATTGTTATGAGGAAGGATATTAACATAAAATATACAATAGAGTTATATCTAACTTCAAAACTCTTTTCTTATCTATATATTTTCAAAAGCACGGATTACTGTGGTGAAACACGAATTCAAATCGTTATCAAAACAATTTTTTGTTATTCAATTCGCTGTGAAAAACGATTTTTAAGCACTAAAAATTCAATGAAAAACGGTTTCTACCTCTGGTGTATAATGAATTCAAAACTCTTATCACAATTATTAGAAACTTATTTATATATTTTCATTTTCCATCCAGCGAGCAAGTGAGACAACCGTACTGTCAACCGCATAACAAGCAACACTATTCTTCGCGCATTTTGTGCTCAAATTAATGAGATCAAGAGCCCGCAAAAAATAGATCTGGGTGCCAGGTATTCGCCAGCAGCGACATTTTTAAATTTTAATTTTAATCTTTTTCGCGACCAGACACTAAAATCAGGCCATACGGGGAATTTTGAATGGCAGCCAACTCGCATAATACATGAATATTACGCTGGGGGAAGCACAATTACATACGTAACTCATTTCAAGAGTTTCCCGCCTCTAAAAAGACGTTATTTTTCGAAAGATTGTCAAGAAATGTGCTCGATAACGACTTATATTTGAACACACAGACGTCTTTCGAAAACACCTATATGCCATTTAGTCTATATGTTTCTAATATACTCATGTATAGGTCTATACGTGTGCATTATGGAGCAAAAAAATCGCCTCTGTCCGAGATGGGCTAAAAATAGAGTCCTAGCACCCGAAAAATACAAGCTCAATTTTGAACATTCGTACATATAAAGAGATATGTACTAGGAACACGTAAATAAGTATGAATGTACATATACAGAGAGACGATCGTAGGGAGAAATATTTATTGGGTTATATGTATGATTTAACGGCTTATGATATTTCGAGCATTCTAATGGATGTCGACATTTGTGCTCTACGTTTTCAATAATTCCGATTGACAAAGTCCACTGATGGGTTGTGTAATTATTGAGTGAGTTGGAGGGGGGTAATGGGTATAGACTCTAGAGTAAAAATGTGTCTAGGGCACGTTTCGGCCCAGATCCTGGGATCAATGTATTTATAATTTTTTCGCTGCTCCACAACTTGCTTTTCAGGGTACTTTTTTTTCTCGAAGGAAAGTCAGTTACAAGCACTTGCTGACATAACACCAAATCAAAAATTATAGGTAAGGACTAGCAATGAACGTGTGTGGTGATAACATTGGGAAAAAGACATGCATTCGATTCGGATACGGATATTTCCCACCGGTTGCATAATCAGATTTTCAATCACAAATACATAGACCTCGGGCACTGGGGGAAAACTTTACATCTGTGTCGGATCTATTTGTGGTGTGCTCTCGTATTGGTGACATTCAAAATTTTCAATTCGACTTCGGAGGTCGAGGTCGCTCACTGTTTGGTCCCCCTTACGGATATTTCGAACCGTACGAGGTGTACGAGCTTTGGACTCTGGGAGGAGGGTGGATAACTAAACTGGGAAGACACTTTGGAACACGGTTTTTCGAGTGTAAGCATGTTCGTATGTAGATGTAGTAGGTACTTCGGATAACTTTTTTGATATTCCAGGTTTAACTTTGAAGGCGCGCGTTTGAATATTTTGTACATTTTGGGATAGATTTGCTTGTGCTCAATGGAATTTTGGAGTAAATCACTGGCGTATTCGCTTTGGAATTGTTGCAAAAAATCAACAAAACTTACAATTATTATTCCTAGTAAAAATTCCGTTATTATATAATAAATTTATTTAAGTCGGAAGACCAAGAGCTAACACAAAGATCGCGCTATTATAACGATCAACGGCAACTGAACGCAAGGAGAACGCTGCTCGATGAGAGTGTCTATTTGAATTACAAAATTCATATATTTTGGCAAAATTCCCAAAACTACATACACTCTCTATTTTGGCCCGGGAAAATACTTTTAGCACGCACAAACTTTTGAGCACTTACCACCTATCCTCCTATGCGATCCGAATTGTTGGCGGTTCTGTTCTGCTGTTCTGCTCGTGTTTTTCAAATCTCGCCGAAGCGAAATATACTGCGCGGTCCCCAGCCTCAAAAATACATATATATATATATATATATATCCACATAGGTGGGAATACCACCGCAAGCACAGGCACTAGCACACGGATATACGTATATATATATATATTTATTTAGGATCGGCGGGAGCACAGATACGTGAAAGTGTAGAGTCTAGAGCAATGTGGGGAGATCACTTGTGCCTGTGAGTGTAGACTGATTTCGAAAAATGCACGTGTGTTTGTCTAATATTTAGAAATCGTTATTTTTAAACCAATCTGGGGAAATTATGGTAGATTGCATAGAAGGGTTTGTCACTTAAAGGTGTTTATGCCTTAAAAATAAAACTATTTCAAGCTTTTAGAAACCTATTGGAAAATATTAAATTGACTTAAGTAAAATATAAGTTTTACAAATTTGAAAGTTCCCAATAAACTCCTATAATCTTTTAGAAAATTTTAGTGTGTAATTTATTACTTACTTATTTCTTCTTCCGAAATAAACTAAATTTGTTGGAAAGTGTATGCAGCAGTGGGCTTCTGATTTGAAGATTATTCCTATGGCTTTTCTGCTTTTTCCCCAATTTCAGCAGAGACTGGCAGCCGTCGTTTAGCCGCATAAAAATAGTCTTGTAATGTCTCTCAAAATTTGGCAAGAGCTCTCTCCGCACACGTTTTTCCCGTATGATATCCGCCTTGTGCAGCAACTATTACGACTTTTCATAGAGACCCCCATAAATATGCATTTGGCTACTATTTTACCTCCATATGTCTAGGCCAGAACTTTTATAAGCTACCTACATATATGTTTAAAAATATTTATAAATGACAATACAGCAAAGAATTTTGCTTTATTTTGGGACTGGTAAATCTGGGTTTAATGCTGTTGTCAACCGCTGGATAAAGGCACTAAAACCTTTTTAAATGTTTTATCATTTTTGGCTATTTAAACTTATAAAATTGACAGTGACGTTCTGTGTAATGCAATTATTCACAGCGTTCTTGCTTCTCTTTCTTCATCAAAAATTATTGTTATTAAAAAGCAACGAAATAGAGGCCTTTTGAATAAGCAAACAATTAAATTTATATTATTCAAGTTCATAACATAGTTTATGCAACTGTATTCTCCTGTAATTGGCACACTTTGTTACACAACTATTTGCTAATTATTTATTTTTTCATAATTCCGTATTGCGTAATAACAAAGAGAAGAGATAAACTAGATATAAGCAGTTTGCCACCCTTAACATCAGATCAATCACCTAACCAGTTCCTCTTCAAATATTTACGTCACAAAACATTACAAAAAAAAAAAGAAACAGAAATCTCCTTGTTAAAAATAAGAAAATATTTTAATTCAAAATTAAATATATACACATTTGTTAGTCTGCTCTTAATGACATTTATGTTTTGGTGGAAAATAAGTAAGAATCTTTCTTCCCAGAAGTCAATTTCACAGCGTTTTCGCTTCCAACAATGTTACTTAAACTCAGCAGATCGTATTTTGTGTACAAAATATTGACGGACATTTCTTCCCCGAAACCATCCCGCGGGTTTTGATTGGACTCGAGCATCAAATTGATCATTTCGGAATAAAAATGCGGAAAATTGGGCGGTTGGTACATAATCAAATTCCGGATGCCCTTAATTCGGGTGCGCCGGAAGAAGTGTGCTCTTTCCGAGTAGAGTAGAACAGATGCTCCGCTGTGGAAGAATATATCTCTCGCCCGGGAAATCTTTTCTTTCTTTGTATACTCATTTATCTGCACAAAACTGACCATTTCGGTTTTGAAATGATTTCGTATCCGTACGTAGTCAAAATAGCTGGGCACGTACAGCATGCAATGGGAGAACCCGGGCTTGCTGAATTGGGGCATAATATGCTTGACGAAGTACTGAAAGCGATCGTCGAAGGTCGACTCCACGTTGGAGCAACTGATGCGGCGGAAAACCTGCTGAATTGGTGTCAGCACATTGCGAATGTCGCCGTGCTCGATCAGATTCGAGATCCGTGCCTTTCCCTGGTAATTGTTGCATTTACTGTTGAGCACTGCTCGGAATTCTGGGAGCTCGTGGGATGAGAAAAACAGGGTTTGGCGGTAGAAACTCGATGCGCCACTGAGGCACCAAGTTCGAACCCGCTGGCAATTCGTGTCCGGCAACTTCTGCGGCTGCAAGTGTAGATGGTCCAGGGAGTGCAGAAGATTCTCCCAGTTTTGCGCCAGAAAGAGTTCGGCTTGGTCAACAACAAGCAGTTCAATCGAGTTTAAAAAGTCAAAGTCATCATCCTTGTCGGTGACGAGCATTCTTAGACCCAAAGGAGATGCGATCAACATGTCCGATGCGTTCATGTCGGAGAAAAGAGCCATGGTCTTCTTGGTGAAGCGAATTCCCAGTTTAAAGTTGTCATCCGTGTTGCCACTGAAGGTTTGCTCATAGTCCACTGGCTTGGGGTTGGTTTTTGGGAAGTATATCGTGTTGCCAGAGTAATCTCCCAGAAAGCGTTCATAGTTGGCAATTGAGGTCTTTCTAGCATTTTCTGTAAAGCATAATAGATTAGTTTGATTATTCTTCTGTTGTTAATGGGTAACCTACCATCTTGGCTGCCAAACATTAGGTCTCCAATAATATTTACAATCTTTAGTGCCGATTCTCTGAAAGGCACTATGAAAACAACCTTCATACGCTTTAGTCCTTGGTCTCTGAAGCTTTCTGGTATGGAGATTTCGTTAGGTGATAATTTCTGGGTTTTGGCCAGTGCCGAAACCTTTTCATTGTTACGCAATATCAGGGACCTGACTTTAAGCATGTGGTTAAGGGCGTGCAGGCAGTATACATATCGAATATCCTCGGCATTGGCATGACTTCGGTGGGGGTAATAAATATCCTGATAGTTATTGGCAACGTAGAATAGTTGGGATTGCAGGGCCGTGAGTGGAAGCTTGGCGTTTCCACAGATAGACAGCTTAACCTCCAACTTTTGAAGATCTGAGGAACTGGCAATGTCTTTGGGTTCACTGCAATCGGGCTCCTTGAAGTCCTCAGACAGTCGTGGAATCTCAAACTTGACATTTCCCAAGGCAGACCAATTATCCTTGATGCTCGTCACATCTTTTCCCGCAATCAAATCGTTGATATTGTCTGTGGACAGCTCAAAATCGAAGCGTTTTGTAAACGAATTGTATATTTCCAAGTCCGCATTTATCTTCTCAGAGCGCTTTTCCTTTTTGGGTTTTATCTTTTTGGGCACCGGCACAATTGGGTCCTCCGTGGTAGAGTTAAGAATCTGACCTGAAAAAATGTTTTGCTGTTTAAGAATTCTTTCTGTTTTCAATATAATTATAAATTATAAAAGTACTTGTAGGAATGTGATTGTATCCAGTCACTAGCTGTTCATAGAATCCTGCCTCATCCACATCGTCCGGAATCTCCGGCAGGAGTTCGGCCACGGGCTCAAATTCCTGTTTCGGGACTGTGGGCATCCTTTCTCTGCGATGCGACTCCTCCATTTGCTTGCTCCTCTGAATATAACTATAGTTTTTCGAAAACCTTTCATTTCGACGGGCGGGCGTTGTTTTTTTATAGGGTTTAGCCCTGTTTTTAGAATGTTTTTGTTTCATTTTAATTTGTTTGCTCCGGAGCGACTTTTAAACACACGTGTGGCAAAAATACAAACAAACATATGTTTTGATTGAGGAATTCTTTATGAAATATCGATAGTTTTTAGTGATGGCATGTGGTGAAGTGGCAACAATTCCCAGCGAAAAGGTAATTCAAACATAAGACATAGAAATAACGGTGCTTTTGAAATTATAATATTGAATAAATCAATTTTAGTTCTCACACTGAGAATATTTGATAAGCTTTGACCAAATACACTCAAAATTAGTTTGTGGAACCCCTCTAATGTGTATTTTAATATTTTAAATTTAAGTTGTATATACCTGATGTAGCTTTTTTAAGCCAAAAGATATTTGTTTTCGTTCGTATTATAGTCTATAAAAAAAAACAATTGTAAATAATTATTTGAATTAAACGTTAAGAATATGAACAAATAAATTGAACGTTTAAATTGTCTAAAAACTTGTTTTGGCATTTACTATTATTGTTGAACTTTCTTTTCGGATTTAAACTTCGCATATACAGCTTTACTGCCCAAGCTGCGCCAAAATGAGTCCCCCTAATATGCCCTGTTAAACCGAAGTTAGGTAGTTAGTATTTTTTTTAAAGCCGAACGGTATAAAATGGCGCTCCATTAGCGACCTTATTGCAGTTGAAGTTGGGACATGGGAAGTGATCGCACGTTGAAAAAGCAAAAGATGTCGGTCTTACAGGAATTAAAGAAAATTACCACCATTGTCGCAGACACCGGCGACTTTGAAGGTAAATATACACTCCATTTGGACTTGTAGATACATATCTACACCGGCATACAATTCTACGCTCCCCAAGCTGGAAATGTATCTTGAAATACAAACGCATGGTTGTACATATACATATGTCTGTGGACCCGGGCTCAAGAACATTCGATTTACTTACATACAGACACAGTTCAGGTTTAAGCAATTACATAGTTTGTAAACATAGGATGAACCAAAAGATAAACATAAGACACCAGAGCCATCTCGATGGCAGTTTGTCTTATCTGTTGCAGTGAAGATCAAATAAAAGTGAAAAGTAAAACCGAGCTGACTTTAGTTTGACCTTAGGTGCTTACGTGTGCTGGAAATGTGACCGCTATAGTATGTCACGGTGATAAGGTTTCGTTTGAATGCGAAACCTGCTCAAAAAAGTCCAAAGATATTTTCGGACGGCCGATTGAAAAATGAAAGTCGTTCAACAGGTTTTTCGGGCTTTATAGAATTTGTAACTTGGGTGTTTGGCCCCGTATTTATGCAAAGTCCCAGAGAACTTAACTTTGTTTTTACTTTCAGCTATTAACATCTACAAGCCCACAGATGCCACGACCAATCCCTCTCTCATTTTGTCCGCCTCCTCCATGGAGCGGTACCAGCCCCTGGTGCAAAAGGCGGTGGACTACGCCAAGGGCAAGAAGGGGTAAGAAGTCTAGTAAGATTTCCAAAAAAATATTACTTTAATATACGTATTTCCAGCTCCGTAAGTGAACAAGTGGCCGAGGCCATGGATTACCTTTGTGTGCTGTTCGGAACGGAAATCTTGAAGGTCGTCCCTGGCCGGGTTTCCACCGAAATCGATGCCCGTCTCTCGTTCGACACCAAGAGGAGTGTGGCGAAGGCCCTGAAGCTGATTGACCTGTACAAATCGCTGGGCATTGGTAAGGAGCGCATCCTGATCAAGCTGGCCTCCACCTGGGAGGGCATCAAGGCGGCCGAGATCCTGGAGAACGAGCACGGCGTGCACTGCAACCTGACGCTCCTCTTCTCGTTCGCCCAGGCCGTGGCTTGCGCGGAGGCCGGAGTGACCCTGATCTCGCCGTTCGTGGGCAGGATCCTGGACTGGTATGTTGCCAACACGGAGACAAAGAAGTTCGAGGCCCTCAAGGACCCGGGTGTGATCTCTGTGACGAACATCTACAACTACTACAAGAAGTTCGGCTACAAGACCCTGGTAATGGGCGCCTCCTTCCGGAATGTGGGCGAGATCAAGGCCCTGGCAGGCTGCGATCTGCTCACCATCAGTCCCTCGCTGCTCAAGGAGCTGGAGAACGAGACCGAGTCGGTGACCACCTACTTGTCAGTCGACAATGCCAAGCTGCAGGACATCGAGAAGATCACCGTGGACGAGAGCAAGTTCCGCTGGCTGCTCAACGAGGACGCCATGGCCACCGACAAACTCTCCGAGGGCATTAGGAAGTTTGCCGTTGATACTGTTAAGCTGGAGAATTTGATTAAGACCTATCTTAAGTAGACGTCGGTTCCGCTCACAGGTGGAGGATGAAGCCACAATTGTTTAAAAATAAATGATTTTGTACTTTAATAAAAATTATAATTAAAAAATTGTAAGCTTTCTTTGAAATTGTTATCATATCTGTACGATAATAATTTCAGATAAATGTATTTTGGCCCTTATCAGTTTGTATTTTCTAAGCGGTCTGAAAGGTTTGTTACACACGTATGTAAAAATATATGTGAGAAGCTGTAAAGAAAAAGACAACATGTAAAATATCGGTGGCGTTTTTTTAATTTATAGATAATTCTATACAAATTAGGACTAAATTATGGAAAAAAATACAATTTTCTCAAAAAGATACAAATTGTAGTTCTATACTCCGCTTACGTTTAATAATATCTGTAAAAGTATCTCTACATTGCGCCCTCACTATCCGATAGTCAGGCAAAGTATCGATAAAAGTATCTACTTTGTTGCATCCCTAGGTTGATACATAAAATAAAAAATATATAAAAAGTGAGTTAGTACTGATATTAAAAGTAATTTTTAAGTAACAAATTGATGTATTTGCGACCACGCACAGATAAAGAATATTGGGCGACTGGAAAACAGTGGCTGAAGCGTCAAGTGCGATAGAATAAGCCTTTTTCAGCACCCGAAAGTCGCTCCCCAACAGAATCGTGCACCTACAGTTTTAGCCCGAAGTTGCTCCCATGAATAAAAATGTTCGGTAATTTCACGGTAAACAATAACCATTGTCAAACATAGGGAAATAAGTCGCGTACATGTACGTAATTAGATTCGCGCAAAGATGTGATTCGCGGACTTATATCTATTCGATCCGTTTCGTTTCGTTTCGATTCGATTCGAATTCATTTTCATTCGAGTCCGACTTCCTGACGTCCTACGTCCTGCGTCCTTAAACCTGAAATCAGTGAAAAATCGTTCGCGCATGAATATTCAAAATACTATCCTATCCGATTCGATTCACGATGGTTATACCATATAATATAGTTTCCCAAAGTGTCAAAGAAATGGCAAATATTCGGAGGCACGGAGCACATACGTATTGATATATGTACATACATTTATTTATGTACATCCATTCACACATGCGAACCGAGAACTTGTGTATATATCTAAATACATACGTACGTATATACGAGTAGATACACAACGGTGTGTACACATATCTGTGAGATATATATGTGCCTGTGCCTGTGCCCGTGCCCGCTTAGATCCCGATGAATTTATGTACATATATTTACATTAAAATCTGCATATCTACGGCTATATGTCCGTTAGATATGTATATACATACATATCTTCCTTCGACTTTCGTCGGTCGGTCGGGTGGTCGGTCGCCCGTCCGTCCGTCCGTCCGTGGGCAATAATTAATAGATTAAATACGTTTTTTGTGTGCATATAATAAATTCATATTTGAGCAAAAGTTTAATCAAATTCTCGCCCAATATATGTAAATTTTCGCAAACTGTGTACTGGCGGGTACGGGTACACACAGCCATCTGAGTTTTAACTGCAGATGGAATTATGTTGGTATCTCTATATACATGCGTACCTGCACCTTAGTATGCGCGAAAATTCCACCCGCCCTCTTCTTCACCTGTTACACTACGCCAATGTGGATGTGAATATGAATGTGATGATGATGATGATTATCATTATGATGATGAATTTCAATCGTTCGACGAGAATGTACGGGCGTTTGCGTGAAGTAATTTTTGATTTTTATTTTGATTATGATTTGGATTTGGATTGCACTCGATAATAAAGCCAGCATTATTTTCGGACTCAAAATATAAGTGACTCATTGTGGCTGTCGTGGGCGGCAATGTCAGAAATGTCGCCTTGGCTCAGGCGCCTATTATGGGCGATATTGGCGATATAGTTGATATAGGGGCACTGATGTAGGTTCATAAATCCCTTGGAATACACACCTGCCACCTGCCGTTGATATTTACGATTATATGTAAACAAAAGGTGTCGATTTGTTAAAAGTGCTATGGGATATAGGATCTTAAAGAATTTACTTTTAATTAGGGAACTTTTAGAAAATACTATGTTATTAATAACCGTATAATATAAAGTTCATGAAGGCATTGTAAATGTGACCACTCCTCTGGTGATCTAAAAGTTTCTTAAAATCTGACATAAATAAAAATAGATAATCCTTTTTTAAAAAATACTCTAAATTTATTCCTGCAATGTGTGTGAATATTGCTTTAAAATAAGGAATTAAGAAACCTTTGGAACATATAATTAAATATAGTGTTGATCCTTTTGAAATGTTGACAATTTTATGGAGCTATTCATCCAAGATGTTTTCAAATAAACCTACATAAATTAATCTTAACTTCTTTACTTTGCCAATCCAGCTTGCTACGGAGATCTACTGAATCGCTGAGCCAACGGTCGGAGATCGGAGACCTGAAGTGTACATAGGGGACATTGTGTGTGGATCCGAGGAACTCAGCTATACTGGAGCAGAACGGAGAAAGCACAAGGGGTGCCGAGTCACCCGACGCGAACCAGGAAAACCGAGCGACGTGTTGGTGGACCCCGTGGGCCGCGATGGGTTGCTTTGGGTCCCCCACCTCGAAGCAGTCGGATGTGAACTCGGAGGACTCGAAGAGCCAGAAGCGCCGGAGCGATGCAATATCTAGACAGTTGCAGAAGGACAAACAGCTCTACAGGGCCACACACAGGCTGCTCCTCCTGGGGGCGGGCGAGTCCGGCAAATCAACTATAGTCAAACAAATGCGAATATTGCATGTCGACGGATTTTCTGAAACAGAAAAGAAACAGAAAATTGATGATATTAAAAAGAATATTCGAGACGCTATCTTGGTGAGCATATACCTATTGTTCCCTTTAGATTCATCATTGCTAACCAAAACGTTTTTCCAATTACAGACTATTACAGGAGCCATGAGCACACTTAATCCACCTGTAGCTTTAGAAAAGAAAGAAAATGAACCCAGAGTGGAGTACATTCAGGATTATGCATCTAGTAAGACATTTAACCTTAGCTTCAGCTCTGGATAAGTAACTTTAACTTATTCTTTTCCTCCGCAGGTCCGGACTTTAATTATCCTCCTGAATTTTATGAACATACAGAAGAACTATGGAAAGACAAAGGCGTTCTTCAAACCTATGAGAGGTCGAATGAGTATCAATTAATCGATTGTGCGAAATAGTAAGTATTGTCTTTATTTTGAATAGTGCAAATCGATGTGGTCAGCCCAAAATTGTATTTTTGTAGCATTGTCGGAATGAAAGTTATTTATTTTTTAATTATAAAAGGGCATGTTAACTATTCTAATAGCATTAACTGTGTGTTTTTTCCGAAGTTCACCGTTTACTGACGATTAAGAATATTCGTTGGATTGAAAGTATGCATTTTATAACTCTTAAAAAGTCAATTCGCTTGATGAAGTAAAAATCCACAATTATTGATGCTTTGTAGAAGTGTGGCAATAAAGTACAATAATCGTAAATTGTAGTCTTCGAAAGAGAATAACATTAGTTGATTTATTTAGGCTTGTTACATCTATTTAGATTTGAAAACAACTTACTCATTTATGCACTTTATATTTCACATTAAAGCTTCCTGGACCGAGTAAGCACAATCAAGAATCCAAACTATACCCCTAATGAGCAGGATATTCTTCGGTGCCGTGTTTTGACTTCTGGAATTTTTGAAACAAGATTTCAAGTGGACAAAGTAAATTTTCAGTAAGTACAACTAGTGCATAAGTAATGAACATTCGAAAATAACCTTTTTAATTGTACGTGTACAGCATGTTTGATGTCGGAGGACAGCGAGATGAGCGTAGAAAATGGATTCAATGTTTCAATGATGTAACTGCTATTATATTCGTAACTGCGTGCTCAAGTTATAACATGGTTTTGCGTGAAGATCCCACCCAAAATCGACTTCGAGAATCTTTGGATTTGTTCAAGAGTATTTGGAACAACAGGTGACACGTGAAGTTTGCACAATTAATTGATCTGAAAACTAACATCGAATTTTTTATAGATGGCTTCGCACGATTTCTATTATACTATTTTTAAATAAGCAAGATTTGTTAGCAGAGAAAATTAAGGCTGGAAAAAGTAAATTGTCGGAATATTTCTCCGAGTTTAACAAATACCAAACGCCAAGTAAGTAAAATAGCAGAAACCAGTAATCCATCTAGCAACCTTTATAAAAGCCGAGGAAAAGGCTTACATTTGATTCACTTTGGCAAGACTACAAACAGAAAAGGAGAATATCATGACTGCCATCAAAACCCAGGATTAACTGGACAATTAAATCACTTATTAACAAACTGACAATGACAACAAATTGTTTCTTGTTTGAAAGATAAACACAACGGATAAGAAAAACTTGTTAAACTTGACCTCAAAATTCCCCTCAAAATTGAAACTCATACCTGATTTAACTTAAGAAATTTAATGGATAATATGTTTTTGTCTAATTTCAAATGTGCTGTCGACACAGGTGACGCAATAATGGAATCCAATGACGACCCAGAAGTAATACGAGCAAAATATTTCATACGAGACGAGTTTCTGGTAGGTTGCATCCGCGCTCCTTAAACAAATGCCATGCTCATTAAGATTCTCTATTCTGTATTTAATTAGCGTATATCTACCGCTAGCGGAGACGGTAAACACTACTGCTATCCACATTTCACATGCGCCGTTGACACAGAAAACATTAAACGTGTGTTTAATGATTGCAGAGACATTATTCAAAGGATGCACCTTCGTCAATATGAATTGTTATAGGTTATCCCCATCGCCGTAATGCAAGTAAATAAAAATATTAATGACTTACTGTTTTAAATATAATTATCAAATGTAATTTGTATTTAAATAGTCCCTTGATTAAAAAAAAATTCGCTGCATTTAGATCTGGTATGACCTTTCACAAAACTCAACATTAAAGAATAATAAATAAACATGTTAATAACAGAGTCAATTGTTTTATTCATAGTAGGTGTATGAGGATGCACGTTGTTTATTCTATTCTATATTCCCTTGACATGAAGCATTTTTAGAGTACATTCGCGTTTCGATCGGTATCCGTATCCCTATCTGTATCCGTATCCGTATCCGTATCCGTATCCGTGAGCATTTGAAATGGTTTGAGTAGGTATCACTAGACGAGTTGGTTGAGAATGCTGAAGCTGGCGGAGGCCTTGTCGATTTCATCAAAGTTTCTTTTGAGCTTACTGCTCCAGGTGTCCTTGTACATCGGATCCATCCTCACCAGGTACGGCAGCATGTCTCTGTGGTGGCTTGATCCCATTTTTCCAGGTATAAACCGATCTCCGCAGGGCTTCACGGTGTACTTTGCCTTGAATTCGGACTGGCTGCATTCGTAGCAAACGACTGTTTGTCCGTTTGCCGCGGAAATCAATCTGCAGGATTCAGATAAATGTGTTTTAGAATTAATTTCTATGAGTAACGATGGGTGAATTGTGACTTAAACTTTTAGGATAGAAGTTGCTATCTACTATCTGCATATTTACATACTGTTATATACAGCTCTTTTTCGATAACATTCGGATAAGACCTGATAGCAGCACTTTAATCTTAAATATTTGATAAGTATATCAGACAATGGGTTTTCACGTGCATCTGTTACTTGCTATTGTATATGCTGTGTTATTTATAAACATATATTTTTTGACACACTCACCTAACTATAAATGGTCCATCGTACTTCTTTGAGCCGGCTTTTTATGGGGAAAGCATGTATTAGTGAGTAAAAATGTTAGTCAAATTTTATTTTGATTACAAATCTCTGCCTTTGGTAGTAGGAAAGATAGGGCTTGAAAATAAAACTCTTTCATAAATGCAATAATTTATTAACAAATAGAAGAAACATAATCATATATGTACATATAAAATAAATCCCATGCTTTGTATTTACATTTCAGTTTCATAACAGGTTTTCGGTACTCGATAAGGTCAAAGGTTTATTTCTGAAGGATTTCTTAGTCGCTTAATAGTCGTCTACTTTCAGTCCTTTTTATCAAGTGTCCTCCACCAATGCTGTCTAAGCCACGTTTAGAAACTGTTCGCGATAACCTCTCTTGAAAGGTTTCAAGATTTTTGTTTTTGGGCAGCGAAGGATTCGCATTTCGCAAATAAAGTTTGTACAATTCGTTGAACAATTGCGATGTGGTTATGTCGTCGCTTAAAAATCCTGGTGTTCTTAAACTTTCGCTGTTGCCGTTATAAAATTTTTTTAACGCTGAAAGATCTGTTCAAAATAATAAGAAATGAAAAATTGAATTGCTTATATACAAGCTAAACCAATTAATACTGTTAGGATTGATAATACGTTATGAATTTTCAAATCTTTCAATACTTTTTCAAGACTTTGTTTTCCAAAGTTTTTTTTTTTAACATTCATGGTATATTGATCCTTAAAACCTTTTGTTAAAATTGACTGAAAACATTTTCGTTACCTTCACATAGATATTTGCCATCCATCAATTCGTCGTTAGAAATGTCCTAAAATAAAAAAAAATGTAATATTTTTGCTTAAATTCGTATTTTTAGCACTAAAACACTTTTGTTAGATAATCAGTCGACGTGTTCCCGAATGGATACTTTCAAAAACACTTGAAAAACTCATACATACCACGCTCGGTGCTGCTTGAATGAAGTTTAAGAACACCGATACCACCACCAGGACAATAAAAAGATTCATATTTCCAATCGTAGCCCTCGACCGGTGAACTTGCAAAACAATACTCGCCGGAGTTTTGAAGAAGACTGTGCGCTTTATTGTGGCGTGGTCCGTTTTATACCCGATTTGGTCCTTACTTAAACAGGGTGATGGTAAATTTATGATGCAGATAACCAACGACAGCTAAAGAGCCGCAGGAACGCACCCGTTATTAACAGCTTAGTGCTGTTTGGTCGGTTAGTGCGGTTTCCTTTATGCTCTTAATGCGTCACTTGCACCATATTTCTGGTAACCAATGGTAAATACTCCTACAAACAGACCGAAGTGGTGTCAAGATTTTAGCAAACATACGTGCACTCAAACATATGTTCAGTTATTAGATTTAATTTTCATTTATATAAGAGTTGGGCGGCCTTTCTGTGTTCTTGCTTTCGTCTCTCCTCGGTTAGTTGAGTTAACCGCGAATTAAATTTAACTAGAAACTTTTTCAGTTTTTATTAAAAGGCTGAGGACATAACAAGTAAGTAAGTAAGTAAGTAAGGACATAACAAGTAAGTAAAATTTATTAAATATGTTCACAACTCACAAAAAACCTTTACCAACAATATTAAAGAAATCATTTAAAAAAAAAACAGCCTTTAAAAATTATTTAGATTAAAAAGTCATACAAAAAACTTTGTTCTAATAGTCTTAACTCAATTTACTATATTTCTTTTCGTCATATTTATTTGCTATTAAAAAACGTTATTATTTTCAACATTAAAAAGGCATATTTGTAATTTTTTATTTTATTTATTTATTATTACTTTTTTTTGACAGTTTAGAAGTTTAATATTGGTCACCCAGCGACGAAGTGGGCCTGTAGAAAAAACTCATTACTTTAGGATTAAAAGTAATGGACTACATTTGCTACATTGTTGCTTATGCGACTTCGGAGCTCAAAAAATAAAAACACAAATTTAAGGTTGTTTCTATGAGTTAAAATAAAAGCAGATAGTGGCCCATTGGACCCTGGTTCGTACTTTATTTCCACTTAGTACAGTTTTGTATGTTCTAATTATAAGTATTCCAAGTTTTAATTAATTTGCTCATGATTAAGGTAAACAAATTCATTCTTAATAATAATAATAAATATTTATTATTTCTCTTAATTCAAGAATTTATAATTTAAAATGTATTTATTTTACAATTAAAAAATGTCCTTCAAAATGCTTGCCAATTTGGAAATAAGCAAGAAATGATTTTAATTTGTCATATTTTGTCAAACATTCAATGAACTTTCCATATTTTTACATCCTTCAGGTTGAATTAGCTCTTATTTTGAGCATTCTGAAGAAGCTGTTTAGAGTTTCAAACGTTTAGGAAGACGCCAAAATATTTCTGTTTTTTAAAGGTTTTTATTTTTAAATTCAACGTGTGCTTGAATTTACGGCGGAAAACTGGATTTTTTAGGGGGAATTCGGATTGGTCGAGATAATTTAGGTGGAAAGCTGGTTTTACATCTGGCAACACTGTAATGTTTTCTTCTTAGTATTTTTTGACTTTATTCCAACTAAAATCGGCACATATATTGCGAAATGTCGAGATTTCTTTTGAACAAAAGATTTGTTCCCAGTTTGCTCCAGGTTTGTTCTTATTGTCTCGAATATTATATGATTCAATAATGCGTATTTGCAGCAAGACTTCTTGCTCGCCGGCTCATGGATTCCGTCCCAATCTCGAAGGGGAAAGGCCTCGACACCCATAAACATGTGTGTTATGTTTGTGCCCCAGCAAGAGGTAGGTGTTATAGCTATAGCCAGGCTATCCGGCATACTTAAATCCGTAACTCCTCCGTCTCCAAGGCTTGGGTGGTGGAGCGCATGGGTCGGTTTCATAGGATTCTGGACCCCGGCCTGAACATTCTGGTGCCGGTGGCCGACAAAATCAAATACGTGCAGAGCCTGAAGGAAATCGCCATCGATGTCCCAAAGCAGAGTGCCATTACCTCCGACAACGTCACCCTGAGTATCGACGGCGTGCTCTACTTGCGAATCATCGATCCGTACAAAGGTATGGCCCATAAATCCATTCGCATCTGCGCGAACTCACCGTCTGTTATATCACCATTAAGCCTCTTACGGCGTGGAGGATCCGGAGTTCGCCATCACACAGCTGGCCCAGACGACCATGAGATCGGAGCTGGGCAAGATGTCCATGGACAAGGTCTTTCGCGAGAGGGAGTCCCTCAACGTCAGCATCGTGGACTCGATCAACAAGGCCAGCGAAGCCTGGGGCATCGCCTGTTTGCGTTACGAGATCCGTGATATTCGAGTGAGTTGTGATTTCTGATTGATATTGCAATGGAAGTCCCTCGAAATAATCCCTATTGCAGCTTCCCACTAGGGTCCACGAGGCCATGCAGATGCAGGTGGAGGCTGAGAGGCGAAAAAGAGCGGCCATCCTGGAATCTGAGGGAGTTCGCGAAGCGGAAATCAACATAGCCGAGGGCAAGCGGAAGTCCAGGATCCTAGCCTCCGGTTAGCGGCATTACTTCTTGCAGCTTATATAGCCAATACTAAAGATCGTTCTTCCACAGAGGCCGAGCGGCAGGAGCACATCAACAAGGCCAGTGGCGAGGCAGCTGCCATTATTGCCGTGGCGGATGCCAGGGCCCGCAGTCTGCTGGCCATCGCCAAGTCCCTGTCCCATCTGGTGAGTATTTCCCCAAGGAAACTAGTTCCCCGGGCAGGTAGAATGCTAGGCATTTGCTCTTAAATCCTTTGTGATCGTTGGACACCTCGACAAGGCATACACAGCTCGCACAAATATTCAAATTTGGAAATGTTTCAACCGGAGTACGAACGGCGTTTGCTTCAGGAAAGCGTAGGGGATAACAGGGAGCAGCTGGACTTACGCTGCATTCCCACACGGGCTGGCAATCAGTGGGCCCGAAACTTTGCCCTCGCTCCCGGCAGCTCCAGCGAGAACTCTGCGTACGCCTGTCTGCTGCGCAACGAGTTCCTGGACACTAAAATCACCTCTCTGGATCAGTGCAAGCAAAGCACAAACGTCCAGGCCCAGACTGGCGACTTCAAGGTGCGGGAGGAGAACCGAGTCTATGGATTTGCCAACGGAGGTTTGTCCCCGTTGCGTACGCCCTTCGCCAACGTGAGTGAGTGCAGCCAACGCCTGCTCAGCATCTCCAAGAGGCCAACGCGACGCTTTCCACGTCTCCCCTTCAAGATACTCGATGCACCTGAGCTGCAGAACGACTTCTACTTGAACCTCATCGACTGGTCGTCGGAGAGCAGCTTAGTGGTGGGCCTGGGCTGCTCGGCCTACCTGTGGAGCGCAGTCAGCGGCCAGGTGACACGGCTGTGCGACTTCAGCCAAGAGGACAACCTGGTCACTGCGGTTAGTTGGCATGGCGGCGGCCGTCAGGTGGCCATTGGAACCCTGTCCGGCCATGTGAGCATCTGGGATGCGGAGAAGCAGAAGGAACTCAATCGGCTGGACGGCCATTTGGGGCGAGTGACTGCGTTGGCCTGGCGCGGCAACAGCTTGGCCAGCGGCTCTCGCGACCGCTCCATTCTGGAGCGGGATGTCCGATGCCCGCCGACGCACATAACCCGCTGCCTGCGCGGACACAAACACGAGGTGTGTGGCCTTCAGTGGTCGCCCAACCAGCGCTACTTGGCCAGCGGCGGCAACGACAACCGGCTGCTGGTGTGGACGGAGAACTGGCCGGAGCCGATCTACGCCTTCGTCCAGCACAAGGCGGTGGTGAAGGCGCTGGCCTGGTCGCCACACAAGTCCGGACTGCTGGCCAGTGGCGGCGGGACTGCCGATCGCTGTCTGCGCTTCTGGAACGTTCTCAACGGCAAGCCGGTGCAGTGCATCGACACGGGCGCCCAGATCAGCAACTTGGCCTGGGCCAGGGAATCCGCGGAGTTGGTCACCACCCACGGACAGGCCCTGCCACAGGTCATCGTCTGGCGCTATCCCTCGCTGAAGCAAGTGGTTCGGCTATCCGGGCACACCCAACGCGTCCTCTATTTAGCCGTCAGTCCGGACAGCGAGTCCATTGTGACCGGGGGAGCGGACGAGACGCTGCGTTTCTGGACCGTGTTCAGCAAGCAAAAGCCGCCCAAAGTGCCTAGCTCTGTGCTCAGCCTGTATCAGTGTATGAGATGAGAACGAAATTGCGACGTACCCTTAGTTATCCGGGCAATTATATATTTTTCTTAGCAACTACAAATTGTTTAAGTTCTAAACGGTCATCCCGGTCATGTTCTACTTGCAGGATGGACAAAATGCAGCCTCCCTCACGCTGGCCGAGCAATACATTGGAGCCTTCAAGAAGCTGGCCAAGACGAATAACACCATGATCTTGCCCTCGAATCCTGGCGATGTCAATGGCTTCGTGGCCCAGGCCCTGGCGGTGTACAATCACGTTTCCCACTCGAACCAAGCGACCAAGTCTTCGGAGAGCGTTAAGGGTGTGGGCACCTGTTTAAACGCCAAGAATGTCGAGTACAAGGAGTTGCAGGAGGATAAAAGCAGTGTAAAAATGAATATTGAATAGGAATGAATAAAAGGTTGTTGCTATTACATTTGCACCACTCATCGTTACGTTATTAACAGTGCGAGGCATTTAGATTGTAACAATCAGTTCTTAAAATGGAGGACGGAGCATTTAATTAAATAAATAAGCATTTAGTTTCCACAAACGAGTATTTATTGTGCCCCTCACTTCGGCAGATACTTCAGCAGTCGAACTTCGTGCGATAACCACAAGGCGAAACTCAGGAGAATCAGCGATCCGGATTGATGGGCTGTCGCCAGAGGTACGGGCACGTAGTTCAGCAGGGTGGTTACCCCAAGGGTGGCCTGCGTCCAGGCCATGGCCACCACGGCATTGATGGCCCAGTTCGCCCGCTTGGGCAGCTGCATCCGCCTGGTCACCAGCCACAGGGCTGTGGTCAGGGTCACCGTGCTGATGCCCAGAATGCGGTGGTTGAACTGCACCGTCGTCGGATTCTCGGTTATGTTCCTCTGTATCGGCTCAAACTGCCACATGTCGTCGGGTATCCAACTGTCTCCCATCTTTGGGAACGAGTTGTACACCAATCCGGCGTCCAGTCCGGCCACAAAAGCCCCGGAAATGGCTGTCAACAGAACCATGGCCTTTGTGAGATGCGACAGGCCTTTGATATTAAATGCATTCCTGGCCTGAATCACGAATGTGTTGGTGGGGACCAGCATGGCCAAGGCCCTCGACAGGGAGAGTGAGTACAGGACGAAGGCGGCTGCCAGATGGGAGGCCAGTCTGTATTGGGAGACCCGAGGCACATCGTTCGGATCCTGGAAGCGGTCCTCCAGGCCGGACTTAACCATGTACCAGCCCATCAGACCCTGCAGACCAATCAGCGTGCCCAGCAGCAAGACGCTCTTCTTGGTCTTGGCACAGAAGTATCCCTTCCTCCAGAAGTAAATGGCCGGCAGAAGGAAGAATCCGCCAATGGCACGACCCCACATCCTGTGCATGTACTCCATCATGAATATGAACTTGAATTCATCGACTGTCATGTTCACATTTTTCCTAAGGAGTTAGATGGGTTCTTAGTAATTGGATTGATGGGGATTTAGGGAGCTACCCACAGCTTGTACTCCGGATATTGCTGATACAGAGCGAACTCCTGCTCCCACTCCTCCTGGGTTCTGGGCATCCGTTCACCCGTCAGCTTCCAGGTTACCATGGAGAGTCCGGACTCTGTTAGTCTGGTTACGCCGCCTAAATATAGCAAACTTTAGTTAAAAACTATTAATATTCTAAAAAGTAAAACTCTACCTAAGCCAACTGCCACAAAAACCATGCCGCTGACTCCCAGAAACCATCTTCCCACGATTTTGTCGTTCTTCGGAATACTTATGGGTTTTATTGCTGGTATTTCCTAAAAGATATTAATAGGTAATAATAGATAATCTTTTGTAAACAAAATAATACAGTTTAAAAATAATCATTGATAATCACCTTTATCGCTGTTTGCGCAATAGTTTGATGAAACCGGGGACCGGGCACCAGCAACTTTATGAGACTAGTTCTTTTCTGGATCATTCGCAGCATGGTGTTAATTAACTTACGAGCCTTGCTTGCTTAAAACAAATATTTAAAGAGTTATTTTTAATTAATTTTAACTTTATTTACAAAGCCGCTTGCAGGTGTAACAGCAGCTGGTGGTCAAAGAAAAAATACTAAGATGATTTTTAAATATACCTAAAGAATATTGATATTATGTAGCTTTACCAGACTGGTCACACTTTTTATTCTCAACATATTATTTGCGGCTTCATATAAACAATTTTGCCGATTAAAATGGAAACAATATTAAATACGCAGTTTGACCAGCTGCAAAAGGCCATCGAGGGAATAATGGAGGCGAAGAGCAAGGTAAAATGTTTATTTTGAACATTGCATAAAGCGTATTTCACAGCTAAACCATTTGCAGGGGCAGTCATCTGACGAAGGACGCAAGGCGGCCACCTTAATGTTTGTGGCTCTGAAGCACGCAAATCGCGAGGTCAAGCACAATATCAAGGCTGGACGGGATAAACTGCACCTGGAGAAGTGCAAGGTCGACCTGAGCCGCCTCCAGCTGCAGAATCTTCTGTACGAAGTGAGCCACTTGAAGAAGGAGATCGTGCGCTGCCAGAAGTTTAAGAGTCGGGACACCAGTCTGGAGCTTCTCTCGGAGGCTGAGTACGCCGACAAGTTGCCAAACATGGCCAACGAGAAGGAGGACTTGTCCAGCCACAAGCAGCACCTGCACCGCCTGGATTGCGAGCTGCGACTGCGGAAGGATCTCGACAAGCAGTACAGCGCCCTGCTCACCTCCAAGCAGGAACTGCTGCAGGACAACCTCAGCCACGCCCAGAGGTACATCTCCTTCGCACCTGCCCTGCGCACCCTGCTCGGCGCCACGAAGCCGCTGCACGATGCCCTCCAGCTGTCCCTCGACGTGGAGTGGAAGCTGAGCGCCGTGGTCAAGTATCTGCCGAAGCCCCTCTACATTTTGTTCATCAACCTGCAATCCCTGCAACGGGCGAGCGAGGACCAATCCTTCACCGCCGAGGTGGTGGGTTATGAAAGCGAGGCTCAAATGCAGGAGTTGCTCAAGGAGAAGCAGTATGCCACATTGCACCACGAGCAGAATGAAAAGGAAACTACATCGCGGGAAAAGCCTTTGGAGAACAGCTTGGAGGACGCACTGGCTCCTCACCCATTGCACATTCGCATGACGGTAAGCAATAATGCCTCCAATACGTCAGTAAAAATTTAAAAGCTATCTTTATAGATTGGAGCAGCTGGATCGAATCAGCTTATTTTGCAAATTCGCTATTTCCAGTTAATTAAGTGCGTCACTGTCTGGGGGCAACTAAACCCCTCCAGCAATGGCAACACCCTGGGGTAAATCTTTATCAAATTATTATGAAATTTATCAAAACAACTTGTCTCTACACAGTGATACCAACTTTGTTCACTACCTCCTGCGACATTTGTACACCAATGACTTAGGTAATGAAATACCCATTCCTGGAATTGAGTACGAGGTAAGACTTAAACTCAATTTGTTTGCTTAACAAGCGCTTAACACTTTATTTCAGCTTCGAAATTCTGATCTAACAGCTGACGAATGCATCCGCTATCTGAAGGCCAAAGACTTTGGAAAACCTTTCTGTTGGCTGCAAAGCATGTGCTCCATTCCAACCGTCAACAGTTCCATGCTGTACAATCACGAACTGAACTTGAACAAGAACACCCGGGAGATTATTGATCGTCTTGCCAAACGCTGGAACTCGTGGCTACGATTGGGCCAGCAGATTCGCGGGCTGACGTACAAGGACATTGATTTGTACACTCTCAAGGAAAACATCTATCCTGCCGGCCTTTCGTGCAGCCTTGTCCAATGGACTGCCATTACACACGAAGAGTTTCATTCGCAAATTTCAGACGTGTTTAATGTTTCATCAGACGACAAGGGTGTTACATATAACTCGTATCGCGCTGTTATCGTCAGGGGCTCCGCCAAAATGGAGTGTTTTATCAGAATTCCAAGTAGTTATCCTCTGGAAATGCCTCTTTGGATTTTAAATGTACACTGGAACGGCTGTCATACCTCACAAAACAATTCGGCCATTAAGGTTAATAGTTACACCTCTCTCTAATCTAGAAAAACAATAATAATTGTATATTTTAGATGATGGAGTTCTGGACCAACTCGCTGCAGCCCAAACAGTTGGAGGCCAACGAACGCCTACTGTATGCTCAACTTTTCCGCACCATCTATAGCTTCGATATATTCCTCGAAACGGAGGGCTCCATGCAAAGCACCGTCGAGTACAACAAGGAAAAGCCTTACATAAGCGCCTTTGCCAAGCGGAGCCGTTCGCGGCCGTACAAATACATCAAAAAGGGATCCGTGTACGCGTTCAAGCAGTGACGGTTTGAAATCGAATATTGTACAAAGCTTCAATGCAGTTACTAAACATTTTCACAATTTCTCTTTATTACGTTTAGTAATACAATAAATAAGTAACATTTAAAGCTAGCTACGACTTCATTGGCAGTTGATCTTCTGGGAAGAGGTCGCCGCCAAGGATCCCGGAGGCAGCGCCGACGCAGAAGTGTTCTCAACAGCCTCTCGATTCTCGTCGGGCATCACTTTGTCAACAACGTGCTTTACAATCAGCCCTTCGTCGCCCAGATAGCAGACAGAGTACCCATCGTACCAGGCCTCCTGATCCTTCAGCACTTCCTTCAGCTGCCAGATTTTGTACTTCCAGAACTGGAACATTACCTTCAGGCCGGAAATGCCCCGCACTCGCCACCTAATCCTCACCGTATAGTCGTCCTGGTGCTTTGTGATCTTGAGGACCTCGAACTTCACGTAGGCGTACTTCAGGTGCCCCACTGTCCGCAGAATGGCGATCTGTTTGACGTAGTGATACAGGCCCACCGTGTGCTTGCCCGTGATGTTGTTCTGGAAGATGAGTCCCGGGCTGTATATGGAATAGTCCAGTGGCTCCACGAACAACTTGGGCAGCGTGGTTCTCAGCACCTCGTAGGCTCGGTCCAGGTCCTCGGGCTTCCTCGCGTTATCTTTGGTGCTGCTGGGATTCCTTTCCGCGTTGGTGCTCTCGTGGAGACTCTGACTTTGCTGGAGGCTACCGGCTATATGGCAATTCAACAGCTTTTGGTGGCACGCTGCAGGAGCGGGTGCATTGAGCCGCATGGCGGACGCCCACGCCCGCTCCTTGGAGCACCAGCGGGCCATCCAGCTGCTCCTTCTTATTGATAACATCCCGAAATTTCGCATCATCTTTACAAGGACTTTGTGCTACACTTCCTTCACCGCTGCTTGATTGCCCTCGACACACAAATCTAGGTCGGTTGTATGTTAAACCATTCAATTGTTACGTTGGTCCAGGTTATCAGGCTATTTTTCGTTGGCGGTTCCCAAGAACTTGATGAGCTCGTGTTTAGGTAACAACATTTGGAAATGAAATACGGCAAAAATCATATGGTGGCAGTGTTGTGTAACTTTTTATTATGTTCGGTGGGCAAAGTACCTGTTCCTATTGATAGGGGTATTCAAACTTTTGATTCAAAATAATTATTTATATTCTATTATAAGATTATACACTTTGAGCCTTTGCACAAATAAAGGTTTATTATGCCATATTCAACTGAAAACTTTTTCGAATATCTAACAATAAATAATTTATTGCTGTTAACAAAAATTGTCAAATTGAAATGACCGTTACTTTTTTTGATTCTGTCGAAGCTATATGTTTTTTGTAATAATTCGATCAAATTGAAAATCTTTAAAATAAAAACAGACAAATTTGAAAACTATCAAGAAAAGTTACCTCGTAGAACCTCAATAAATATCGCATCCCAGCAGCTGAATCGATTTTCGACCCCTTCGTAACGGGAAACTGTTGCATTGTACAGTACTACATGGTTTTTATGCGCAGACATCCTGCGCAGACCAATTTGTTACAAGCTCGAATCACACACAAATCTGGGAGCATAGACATATATTTGTCTACAAGTAAACACGTTGTTTACAGACACCTAGCCATATAACACTAATTTAAGCTAAGGAGCTTTTGTTGGCTGAAAAATTATTTGAGCTTAAACCTATAAACCCTCGTACTATGACGCATTAATCAGTGACGGTATTATTGAGTGCCAAATACTTGATTTAGTTTCTATTGTCTATTCAACTCTGCTAGCCTTAGTATTGAGAAAAATCAATAGGAAGTAAATAAAAATGTTACATGCCTAGAATACGCTTTGTGGATATTAAAGAAACTATAATCAATTTTTTTTATTGCGAATTGACGTATTCAAAATGTACGGAATCAGTCAATCAACTGTAAACGTAAGTTTTCGACCGGCTATGGAATGAGTTGGCGCTTTCAATCGGACCTACTGCGGAACCAACTGTGGTTGGTTGCCTCGCCTTTATTCCACCGAGATTATTGATTGGCCATGAAACTTGATCAATACTGCTTCCCTTTCAGAATCAACGCTTTCGAGTTCGTGATATGGATAACGAGCAAATCATGTCCACTTTTGGGAACATAGGACACCTACTGAACATCGCTGTGGAACGATTCATAACGATTGGAGAGATAATTGCCGAGGAAAATATTGACATCAAGGGAGACATGTACGAGGCTGCCAAAGAAGCTAGAGATGCTGGTGAGAATATTATAACTAATTAACTAATTTAACCCAAATTTATTGATGTAAATGCAATGTTCGGCAGGAAAATCAATTGAACGACTATGTGATGTATCACCTTTGGGTGGCATGGAGCTTCGCCACCACATTGAGCCTCTAAAGGACTATGGCGCCATCAGCCTGGCGGCCAGGTCCCTACTGTCCTCTGTTACGCGGATCCTACTGCTGGTGGACATTATCGTTGTGAAGAAACTGCTGACCGCCAAGAAGCGAGCCTCCGAGAGCCTGGAGAAACTGGAGTCGGTGATGAACTTCACCGAATTCGTGCGGGCCTTCTCCGTCTTCGGCACGGAGATGATCGAGCTGGCCTACCTCACCGGTCACCATCGGAACTCCTTCAAGGAGGAGCGGCGGCGGGCCCAGATGTACTCGGCCCGTCAGATCCTTGAGAAGTCCATCGCCATACTGCTAACGTCCTCGAAGAACAGCCTGATCCACAGCGACTGTGTGATTGTGAAGGAGAACCGCGACACGGTCTTTTGCCAGATACGAAGGGCTATGGACCTCATCCACTTTGTGGTGAAGGACAGCATCTTCGATTCGGCGAAGCACATGCCCTTCGACAAGCAGGCCAGCAATCCGAACTACGAGAACGAGAGCATATACACGACAATAAAGCGCATTGTAAACCTCATCAAGAGGTACAAGTACCAGATGAGCTACTACGAGAGCAACAACGAGGGGAATAACAATTCCGACGCTTACTTTAATTTCTTGGACGACGATCTCTGGAAGTCCGAAAAGAACCTGGCCCCCACATCGGCGGGCGGAGGTGGACGCATGGTGAACAACACCAACTTCAGGAAGCACCTCAGTTCCGAGAGCATGGATCTGCGCGAGGAGCTGTCGGTGGCATTCGAGAAGCTATTCGAGAAGGCCCACGACTTCACAGACTCCCCGTACATAAGTCACAACCATCGAAAGAACATACTGTCCTACTGCGACAACTGCAAGCTGGAGCTCGACCTGTATCTGAACACCATCATGAAGGACCAGCACGAGAGTGCCGGGGTCCAGTTGAAGGGTCGCGACCCGGAGCTGGGCATGCTGAGCAGTCTGGAGGAGCTGTGCAAGCAGCTGGTCATCTCCGTGTCCAGCCAAATCGAGGACTTCAACGAGTCCCTGAAGATCTGCTCCAAGCTGGTCAAATCGTTCCACGTCCTGGCAACGAACTATGACATCGACAATCTAAACCAACGCTCCACGAAGTTCCACGACTGCTGCGACCACATCTTCGACATCTGCAAGCTCCTGCAGCACATAGCGCCCACGGAGAGGCTGCAGGTGCAGGCCAAGTGCCTGGCCATCAATCTGCGGATCTACGGACCGCAGGTCTTCATCGCGGCCAAGATCCTGTGGAAGTACTCGAACAGCAGTGCGGCCAACGAGAACTTCGAGTCCTTCTCGGACATGTGGAAGTGGCTGACGAACGAGATTTCCATGATCGCCAAGAAGATACTTGTATCAATTAATACGACTAAGAACGACAGAGAAGCTGAAACTGAGGTATGTCCCCAAAAACTCTCACAACACTATTGTCCACTGTCCCTATCTACCTGTTCTTGCTTCTTTTAGAAATGTGAAAGCACAGATAAACTAACAAAATCCGGTGTACCTGCAACAGAAGATGGAGAAATGGTTGAGTATTCTGGCCTCGAAGGCAAAAACAATGGAGATCTAAACACATATCAATCAAAATGGAGTGAAGACTTGTCGGACGACAACGACATATTAAAGAGAGCCAAGAACATGTCAGCTATGGCTTTCCTAATGTATCAGTTTACAAAGGGCAACGGTTCTCTAAGAACAACTCAGGATTTGTTTACTCAAGCCGAATATTTTGCGGAGGAAGCCAATCGACTTTACAAAGTCCTCCGCCACTTTTCATACCAGGTAACATCTCTATTCTCCTTTAGAAAAGTATTTGTAATATGTAACAAATGTAACCATATGTGCATACAGGTTCCCGCTAGTGACAACAAAAAGGATCTCCTTAACATTTTAGATAGAGTGCCGACTTTTGTCCAAGCACTGCAATTTACAGTCAAAGACCACACGGTTGGTAAAGCTGCCACTTTTGTGAAGGTCGATCATGTCATCAGAGAAACCAAAAACCTTATGAACGTTATAAATAAAGTAGTATCAAAGTGCTTTGAGTGCGCAACTAAGGTAAATAGGTCTAAGCCAAGATATGCGGCCATTTCATATAGTTAATATTGCAAATATTTTAATGTGTATGAGGTTTATAATTTACTGTGATATTAAAGCATGCATTATTACAGATATGATTTTAATAACATTTTTTATTTTCAAGGAGATGAGAAGAATCGATTTGGTTTTTGTTCTTTGGGATTCTATTGAACTCCTCAACAATATATTTAAGCACCACATCTTGTTTAACATAAGAGCAACAGCTTCTTTACCAACTTAATTACCATTATAATAATTGAAGTCGCATTGTTCCCTTACAATATATTTAAAGCTATCGTAGAATCGTATATAATTTTGAAATGCTCGATATTGTAGTTTTAAAGAGAATTTCGTTTTGTTTTATACAGAAGATTATAGAATACATCTGTATATTCTTTGCTTATAAAGAGATGCTGTCTGTCTTAATTTGTAACCAACGTATTGCTATTTATGTTTTGTATTTTATTCTTGCTAGCTATAAGCTATAAAGTTGTTTCATAAGCAACTAACTAAATTATTTAAATGTCCCCCTTGCAGTACAAACTAAATTTAACTGGGATAACTGGAGGACTCACCTCGGAGAGGTCGAACGAGAACATGGCCGGTGGAATGTGCGACTCCAAAGGAACGACGAGCAGCAGCGAGGGGAGCATGTGACATTACGGGATGGCTCGAAGAGCCAAGGGAGATGCGCGGAGGACGAGGGTATCATTTTTACTGTTCTGAGCCCAAACCTTTTATTATTGTATTTATAGTGTACACTGTTAGCATTCTTAATACATTCGATTTTTGTGTATCAGTTGAGGCCGCTTCTAGCGTTAATTAATGTCAAAAACTTTATTAACATACAAAATCCAATTAGTTGTCTTAACAGCACGATCTTATAATGCATATTTTGTTTCACTACATTCAAAAACTAACGGCAATAAAGGTAATGAACGATGCAGATATGTATATGAATGTTTTTTAAGTGGATCTATAAATCTGTTCGTAAATATTTCCTATTCGTTTCATTTATGATCTGTGTCTGGGGACGTTGGTTGCAACAGTTTGTCTTGGGTTCTTGCGACAAATTGTAGACTTTTAGGGCAACTGTTGAGGAATCCTTCAATTGATCTGTTTGGACTGTTGAATTCTTAACTTTTAACAGGTTTTTGAACAGCATTAGGTCCAGAGCAAACAAAGCGGCGCAGATGAAAGAAAGTGTTCCCAGGGAATAGGCATAAATTAGAAGATCCTCGGGTAACTGTTCCACTGTAAAAAATATCAGTAGACCTTGAAAAGAAAGTTTTTTGTCAGTTACTTTGAATTTAATTGTATTCACTAACACCTACCCTCTATGGTGAAAAATATAACTCCACAGGTCAACAGAATTATTTCGGCAGTGCCATAGTTCGAGGTTGTATCAATAATTCTATAACAAAAATTTAAAATATTTTTACAAAAAGTAGTTTTAGCTGTAGATGAGTCACAACTGCAAAGTAATTACCTTGTGAGAAGTAAAACGGCTGAAATAAAGGTGTATCCCAGAAAAGTGAGAGTACTGAAGTCGTCGCCCTCTTTTGACCAAGAAATATTGTTCAAGAGTGTCCATTCCCGGGATTGTTTTTTGTTTACGACAAACACCCTCTCCGAATGTTTGTCTGACAATCTTTTAACAATCAACGCTGCCACTGTAGCAATCTATCAATAAATTAAACTGAACTCGATTAGGTTCTCAAAAGTTTTCCACTAAATAGGTTCACCCAATAAAACTTTGGTTGTGATCATGAAAAGATACTTGCAAGCTGGAGAACTTTGGTGAATATACAAGCCGCTAGTCCCATGTTAGACGTTCTTAACGAATACTTTAATACTGAGTACTGAAGCACGTACGAGCAAAATTTACCTGACCCATGCAAATTTTCTCACATTTGGTTTCGTTGTTTAGCGTGGGAAAAGACGAAGTCAAAAAGTGACTGGGCCAAGAGAAATATTCATTTACAGACATACTTAGCCACTGCTTTGGCTTTCAACCAATATTAACCCATACCTTGAACTATAGAACCAAACGAGCGCACTTCAGCCTCTGTGGCGAATGTTGTTTTATGCTTGTGCCCTTATCAGCAGAATAAATATCAATAAAATAAATATACATGTGGATGCTTGATCTGTCTGTAAAAACAAAAATGCAAGGCAAATACGAAAGCTCTGTGAAAAAGATTGCCTTATGCTTTATATTCTTATCAGTGCGATTACAATAAAAGTGGCACAGTGACCTGAATAAGCCCTAACTGTTATAAGTTCTTCAATTTCAATTTAAATTAACTCACACTAAGTTATACAATAAAGTGTAGCTTACCTGAACGATTTGCGAGTACGAGATACTCTGATATAAACTGTCATAAGTTCATTAGTTTCAATTTAAAAGAAATTAATAAAGAAATAAGTTAGAAAAACCCTCTTTACAATAAAGCGTAGTTGATGTTTAATTACACTATTTAGTAAAAATTCAAAGTTATCATACAAGGCCAAGTACCCGACTTGTTTAAGGGTATACAAAGTGAGGAAGCCATATAGTACATCACGATGCGATCCTCAGTTTTGTTAAGGCAATCGGAGTGTACATAGCGGTTCCGTCGTATCGCAGCTAGAAGCAATTAATAATAATAAATTGGAAAAACTGTAATATGATAAGCGTATGCATAATTGGGGCCGGAACAGCAGGTATTTGCTGTGCCCGACACTCCATTGAGAACGGCTTCCAGACGACTGTATTCGAACTATCTGACCGAATTGGAGGAACCTGGGTGTACAATGAGGCAACAGGTGTTGTCAATGGCATCGATGTTCACAGCAGCATGTACAAAAATTTACGGTAGGCATTAGTCATTATTCCAAAACCCTTGGGACACTTATTACTACAGGAGGTATTCGAAATTAGCACTAATCTTCCAAAGGAAGTCATGGGCTTTCCGGACTTTGAAATCGGACAGAATGCGGTTTCCTATGTGAGATCCGACGAAATCTGTGATTTCCTCAACAATTACGCCGACCATTTTGAACTGAAAAAGCATATAAAGTTTAACACCTATGTTATTCGAGTTGTGCAAAGGAATTCAAAGTGGCAAGTAAGTTTAATGGTCAGCCGGAATAATCATTCACTAACCGAAGCGTTTGCAGGTCCTTTTCAAAAATGTAGTTACAAACAAAGTGGACATCCTTTACTTCGATAAGGTTATGGTGGCAAACGGACATTACCACACCCCAAACTATGGTAAAATACCCAATTTGAATCGCTTTAAGGGCGATTACTTGCACAGCCACGATTTCAGAAGTAGGGAAGTTTTCGAAGGTATTTTGTACAAGTGGTTGCACAAACGCCATCAATAAAATAATACTAATATGTTTAATTATGCACCAAGGTAAAACGGTTCTTGTTATTGGAGCTGGACCAAGTGGCATGGACCTATCTAATATTATCTCCCGATCGGCGAAACGTGTAACTATAAGTCACCACTTGACTGATATTGGGAAAAACATTTTCTTTGACAATGTGCAACAGAAACCCGACGTTCGAGAGCTCGATGAAAAGGGGGCCTATTTTGTGGACGGATCCTACGAGCAGTTCGACACCATTTTCTTTTGCACAGGATATAAGTATGCCTTCCCTTTCCTGACAGTGAATTCTGGGATCTATGTGGAGGACAACTTTGTCCAGGAGTTGTACAAGCAGTGCATCAACATAAGAAACCCATCGATGGCCTTGATTGGATTGCCGTTCTACGTTTGTGCCGCACAAATGATGGACCTTCAGGCTCGGTTCATCATGAGCTACTACAATGGATCCAATAAGCTTCCATCCACAGAGGAGATGCTGAAGGACACCCAGGAAAAAATGGACAAGCTTTGGGAAGAGGGCTACAGGAAACGACATGCTCATATGCTGGGCCCCAAACAAGTAAGATTGAAATCAGATTTGCTTTACTTTTAACTTCCATAAAGAATGTTTTGTTCTTTTCAAGATTTACTATTTCTCGGACTTGGCGGAAACTGCTGGCGTAAAAAACATCAAGGCTGTTATGACGAAGTTACACAACGAAAGCAGCAAGTGTTTCAATGAGAACTTACTCCATTTTCGGGAGGACAATTTTGAAATTTTGGACGATGAAACGTTTGTCAAAATAAATTAGAGTTATTTTAAAAAATTTATATAGCAAATAATGGACTAAAGCTTGTATAAACTTCATACATTATTAACATATTCTACAACAATAAAATATCAAAAACTCGACTCCAAGCCAACATATAAATGCAGATTCTTGGAAAATTAAAGTTCAAACCTTAAGAGCTACGCCTTTTTAACTTTAAAAGCAAAATTTAAACGCAAATTTTTAAAAAACTAAGCCACAAACCTATGGAGGTATGCCTTTTTGGAATCGGATTTCGGAGAGAAAAGTTATGCAATTAGAACTGCTGGTTTTAGGTCATATTTCAACGAAGCTATTTTTGGGAAAAATAGAAAGGGGTTACATCATTAAAATATCAAAAAATCGACCCGAAATTACAAGCCGACATTTAAATGCAGATTCTTGGAAAATTAAGCCTCAAACCTAAAGAGCTATTCCTTTTTAAAATCAGATATCTTTAAGAAAAGTTATGGCCTTGAAATGGCTAGATTTAGGTCATTTTTCTGCAAAGCCATTTTTTTACAATGTAAATTTTGTTAAATCGACAGGAAAAACGCCATTAATTTTAAAAGCAAAATTTAAACGCAGATTCTTAGAAAACTAAGCCACAAACCTATGGAGGTATGCCTTTTTGGAATCGGATTTCGGAGAGAAAAGTTATGCAATTAGAACTGCTGGTTTTAGGTCATATTTCAACGAAGCTATTTTTGGGAAAAATAGAAAGGGGTTACATCATTAAAATATCAAAAAGTCGACCCGAAATTACAAGCCGACATTTAAATGCAGATTCTTGGAAAATTAAGCCTCAAACCTAAAGAGCTATTCCTTTTTAAAATCAGATATCTTTAAGAAAAGTTATGGCCTTGAAATGGCTAGATTTAGGTCACTTTTCTGCAAAGCCATTTTTTTACAATGTAAATTTTGTTAAATCGACTGGAAAAACGCCATTAATTTTAAAAGCAAAATTTAAACGCAGATTCTTAGAAAACTAAGCCACAAACCTATGGAGGTATGCCTTTTTGGAATCGGATTTCGGAGAGAAAAGTTATGCAATTAGAACTACTGGTTTTAGGTCATATTTCAACGAAGCTATTTTTGGGAAAAATAGAAAGGGGTTACATCATTAAAATATCAAAAAATCGACCCGAAATTACAAGCCGACATTTAAATGCAGATTCTTGGAAAATTAAGCCTCAAACCTAAAGAGCTATTCCTTTTTAAAATCAGATATCTTTAAGAAAAGTTATGGCCTTGAAATGGCTAGATTTAGGTCACTTTTCTGCAAAGCCATTTTTTTACAATGTAAATTTTGTTAAATCGACAGGAAAAACGCCATTAATTTTAAAAGCAAAATTTAAACGCAGATTCTTAGAAAACTAAGCCACAAACCTATGGAGGTATGCCTTTTTGGAATCGGATTTCGGAGAGAAAAGTTATGCAATTAGAACTGCTGGTTTTAGGTCATATTTCAACGAAGCTATTTTTGGGAAAAATAGAAAGGGGTTACATCATTAAAATATCAAAAAATCGACCCGAAATTACAAGCCGACATTTAAATGCAGATTCTTGGAAAATTAAGCCTCAAACCTAAAGAGCTATTCCTTTTTAAAATCAGATATCTTTAAGAAAAGTTATGGCCTTGAAATGGCTAGATTTAGGTCACTTTTCTGCAAAGCCATTTTTTTACAATGTAAATTTTGTTAAATCGACAGGAAAAACGCCATTAACTTTAAAAGCAAAATTTAAACGCAGATTTTTAAAAAACTAAGCCACAAACCGATAGAGGTATGCCTTTTCGGAATCGGATTTCGGAGAGAAAAGTTATGCAATTAGAACTACTGGTTTTAGGTCATATTTCAACGAAGCTATTTTTGGGAAAAATAGAAAGGGGTTACATCATTAAAATATCAAAAAATCGACCCGAAATTACAAGCCGACATTTAAATGCAGATTCTTGGAAAATTAAGCCTCAAACCTAAAGAGCTATTCCTTTTTAAAATCAGATATCTTTAAGAAAAGTTATGGCCTTGAAATGGCTAGATTTAGGTCACTTTTCTGCAAAGCCATTTTTTTACAATGTAAATTTTGTTAAATCGACAGGAAAAACGCCATTAATTTTAAAAGCAAAATTTAAACGCAGATTCTTAGAAAACTAAGCCACAAACCTATGGAGGTATGCCTTTTTGGAATCGGATTTCGGAGAGAAAAGTTATGCAATTAGAACTGCTGGTTTTAGGTCATATTTCAACGAAGCTATTTTTGGGAAAAATAGAAAGGGGTTACATCATTAAAATATCAAAAAATCGACCCGAAATTACAAGCCGACATTTAAATGCAGATTCTTGGAAAATTAAGCCTCAAACCTAAAGAGCTATTCCTTTTTAAAATCAGATATCTTTAAGAAAAGTTATGGCCTTGAAATGGCTAGATTTAGGTCACTTTTCTGCAAAGCCATTTTTTTACAATGTAAATTTTGTTAAATCGACAGGAAAAACGCCATTAATTTTAAAAGCAAAATTTAAACGCAGATTCTTAGAAAACTAAGCCACAAACCTATGGAGGTATGCCTTTTTGGAATCGGATTTCGGAGAGAAAAGTTATGCAATTAGAACTGCTGGTTTTAGGTCATATTTCAACGAAGCTATTTTTGGGAAAAATAGAAAGGGGTTACATCATTAAAATATCAAAAAATCGACCCGAAATTACAAGCCGACATTTAAATGCAGATTCTTGGAAAATTAAGCCTCAAACCTAAAGAGCTATTCCTTTTTAAAATCAGATATCTTTAAGAAAAGTTATGGCCTTGAAATGGCTAGATTTAGGACACTTTTGTGCAAAGCCATTTTTTTACAATGTAAATTTTGTTAAATCGACAGGAAAAACGCCATTAACTTTAAAAGCAAAATTTAAACGCAGATTTTTAAAAAACTAAGCCACAAACCGATAGAGGTATGCCTTTTCGGAATCGGATTTCGGAGAGAAAAGTTATGCAATTAGAACTACTGGTTTTAGGTCATATTTCAACGAAGCTATTTTTGGGAAAAATAGAAAGGGGTTACATCATTAAAATATCAAAAAATCGACCCGAAATTACAAGCCGACATTTAAATGCAGATTCTTGGAAAATTAAGCCTCAAACCTAAAGAGCTATTCCTTTTTAAAATCAGATATCTTTAAGAAAAGTTATGGCCTTGAAATGGCTAGATTTAGGTCACTTTTCTGCAAAGCCATTTTTTTACAATGTAAATTTTGTTAAATCGACAGGAAAAACGCCATTAATTTTAAAAGCAAAATTTAAACGCAGATTCTTAGAAAACTAAGCCACAAACCTATGGAGGTATGCCTTTTTGGAATCGGATTTCGGAGAGAAAAGTTATGCAATTAGAACTGCTGGTTTTAGGTCATATTTCAACGAAGCTATTTTTGGGAAAAATAGAAAGGGGTTACATCATTAAAATATCAAAAAATCGACCCGAAATTACAAGCCGACATTTAAATGCAGATTCTTGGAAAATTAAGCCTCAAACCTAAAGAGCTATTCCTTTTTAAAATCAGATATCTTTAAGAAAAGTTATGGCCTTGAAATGGCTAGATTTAGGTCACTTTTCTGCAAAGCCATTTTTTTACAATGTAAATTTTGTTAAATCGACAGGAAAAACGCCATTAATTTTAAAAGCAAAATTTAAACGCAGATTCTTAGAAAACTAAGCCACAAACCTATGGAGGTATGCCTTTTTGGAATCGGATTTCGGAGAGAAAAGTTATGCAATTAGAACTGCTGGTTTTAGGTCATATTTCAACGAAGCTATTTTTGGGAAAAATAGAAAGGGGTTACATCATTAAAATATCAAAAAATCGACCCGAAATTACAAGCCGACATTTAAATGCAGATTCTTGGAAAATTAAGCCTCAAACCTAAAGAGCTATTCCTTTTTAAAATCAGATATCTTTAAGAAAAGTTATGGCCTTGAAATGGCTAGATTTAGGACACTTTTGTGCAAAGCCATTTTTTTACAATGTAAATTTTGTTAAATCGACAGGAAAAACGCCATTAACTTTAAAAGCAAAATTTAAACGCAGATTTTTAAAAAACTAAGCCACAAACCGATAGAGGTATGACTTTTCGGAATCGGATTTCGGAGAGAAAAGTTATGCAATTAGAACTGCTGGTTTTAGGTCATATTTCAACGAAGCTATTTTTGGGAAAAATAGAAAGGGGTTACATCATTAAAATATCAAAAAAATCGACCCGAAATTACAAGCCGACATTTAAATGCAGATTCTTGGAAAATTAAGCCTCAAACCTAAAGAGCTATTCCTTTTTAAAATCAGATATCTTTAAGAAAAGTTATGGCCTTGAAATGGCTAGATTTAGGTCACTTTTCTGCAAAGCCATTTTTTTACAATGTAAATTTTGTTAAATCGACAGGAAAAACGCCATTAATTTTAAAAGCAAAATTTAAACGCAGATTCTTAGAAAACTAAGCCACAAACCTATGGAGGTATGCCTTTTTGGAATCGGATTTCGGAGAGAAAAGTTATGCAATTAGAACTGCTGGTTTTAGGTCATATTTCAACGAAGCTATTTTTGGGAAAAATAGAAAGGGGTTACATCATTAAAATATCAAAAAATCGACCCGAAATTACAAGCCGACATTTAAATGCAGATTCTTGGAAAATTAAGCCTCAAACCTAAAGAGCTATTCCTTTTTAAAATCAGATATCTTTAAGAAAAGTTATGGCCTTGAAATGGCTAGATTTAGGTCACTTTTCTGCAAAGCCATTTTTTTACAATGTAAATTTTGTTAAATCGACAGGAAAAACGCCATTAATTTTAAAAGCAAAATTTAAACGCAGATTCTTAGAAAACTAAGCCACAAACCTATGGAGGTATGCCTTTTTGGAATCGGATTTCGGAGAGAAAAGTTATGCAATTAGAACTGCTGGTTTTAGGTCATATTTCAACGAAGCTATTTTTGGGAAAAATAGAAAGGGGTTACATCATTAAAATATCAAAAAATCGACCCGAAATTACAAGCCGACATTTAAATGCAGATTCTTGGAAAATTAAGCCTCAAACCTAAAGAGCTATTCCTTTTTAAAA